TTTTTTTCCATTTATTTTTATTAGTTGGAGGCTAATTACTTTACATCATTACAGTAGTTTTTGTCATACATTGAAATGAATTAGCCATGGATTTACATGTATTCCCCATCCCGGTCCCCCCTCCCACCTCCCTCTCCACCCGATCCCTCTGGGTCTTCCCAGTGTGTGCGCTCAGTCACTCAGTCGTGTCTGATTCTTTGAGGCCCCATGGACTATAGCCCACCAGTCTTCTCTGTCCATGGGGTTCTCCGGGCAAGAATACTGGAGCAGGTTGCCATTTCCTTCTCCAGGTGCTCTTTCCCATCCAGGGGTTGAACCCACCTCTCTTGCACCTCCTGCATTGGCAGGTGGATTCTTTACCACTAGTGCCACTTATCGGAAATGATTATTTTTAAATTCTGATGTTCAGATTGGGGGGTTTAATTGTTTATTTTTCATTTATAGTTGTACTCTATTATAGTCAAGGAATATTGCCTACATTATTTCTAGGTTATGGAATTTAATACAGTTTTCTTTATAGACTAATATAGGAACAATTTTTGTTAATGTTCCTTTGCTTAAAAAAGCATATTGCATCTATTTCTGAGGGCCAAAGGCCATTTGTTTATTATATCAACATAATTTTCTTATTCAAATCATTTTCCAACTTTTAAAAAGTAATTTACTCTATTAAATACTGGGTAACACCTTAAAGGTTCTGACTGTAGAATTTTTTGTTGTTGCTCCGAGTATTTCTTACTCTGTGTGTGTGTGTGAGATATGTTACTTGGCATGTTGAATTAGTCAAGATTTATTTGCAAGAAACCCAACTTGAACTAACCTTAAACCAACAAAAGAGAATGTATTAGCTCATTTATTGGCTCTGCTTCCCCTCTTAGCGTCTGTGTTTTTACCCTTTAATTATGAATTCATTTCTTGATGTAGGCTTTAGATATTTTTTGCCAAAAAATAAAATAACCCTCATATTATGACATTGCAGAAGTCAACTGTGAAGTGAAGAATGTTGCCTCATGCTACCAAAGGATTTATTAGAGAAATTGCATTGAAATTTCAACACTTGATTTATCTTATATCTTCTAAATTCGTATTTGTGATTACTGTCCAAATTTTGTTAAAAATGAGATGAAGTAAACTTATCTTTATAACTTTTTTCTTTTGAGGATAAAGGTTTGCTCAAATCTCTTGAAGTGGAAAGTGGTGAAGTCATGTCATAGGTTCAGTGTGAGGGATGGGAGATATTCTCATGGCCATCTTTGGAAAATACATTCCTCCTCAATAAGTATCCTAAATCTCTCATTAAACTTTTATATTCTTTTGAGTAAACTTGCTTTAATTTGTCACAACTATTGTGAAATTCCATAAAAATTGTTAATTTGAGTAAACTTGCTTTAATTTGTCACAACTATTGTGAAACTCCATAAAAATGGTTAAAATGAGGTAACTTTGGTGCTTTCAGATCCACCCACTCATGTTCCAAAATAGTCTTCAAGTGTATTTTGTAAATCTGGTTTTAAATTAGAATATGTGAAAGACAACTGCATTTTTCTCAGATTAAAAAGAAATGAAACTTGCTAGAAAATGAACATCTGTGTCCCTGTAAAATTAGTAAGAAAGTTCAGCATTTATAGGGAGGAACCTGAGTTATAATGTTGTAGCAGTGTATCTTCATGTTTTAAGTTAGTGTTTATTAAAAAAAAATTCATTGGAAGATGCATGGAGATTTAAGACTGCAACCTACTATGCCCAGGAGCATAAGATTACAACTGAAGAAAGCAAAGAAATTTAGGGAAAAGAACTCAACATCTCGAATATATATTTTATATATATTTTGGTCCATACTGTATTCTGCGAAATATTGTAAAATGGTTGAACTGAAACATGGCATTTTGGAAAAGAATCACAATTTGGAACACACATTCTTGCATGAAACAATACATTTGCATTTTTCAAATAGCATAGTTGGTTGCTATTACAATTTTTATTTGATTTTTTCCGTCAAAATTTGATTTATATTTTGCTCAGTTCTGATTTCCCAATAATCTTTGTTTTTCTTTAATTTGTCTCAACAAACAAAATAATGGTTGAGACTAGGCCTTGGAGTCAGACAGACCTGTCTAGCCTCAAAGGAAAAATGTGCCTGTGAAAGTTTGTATTTGAACAGGGAAGCTGGTTGGCTGTATTGCATTTTGGAACCCCTTGGGTACAAAAGGGGCTTCCCAGGTGGCATTAGTGGTAAAGAATCTGCCTGCTAACGCAGGAGATGTATGAGATAAGGGTTTGATCCCTGGGTCAGTAAGATCCCTTGGAGGAGGAAATGGCAACCCACTTCAGTATTCTTGCCTGAGAAATCCTGTGGACAGAGGCCTGGCAGGTTACAGTCCATGGGATCACAGAGTTAGACACGACTGAGCACAAACTGAAATTCTGTCCCCATTTAACACTTACTCACCCCCATTTTGCCCCTGGCATCTACCAAAGTACTTTCGGACTCTATGAATTTAACCATGCTATAACGTAACCTTAAAAATGCATCCCAATATACATTTGTTGTTCAGTCGCTGTCATGTCCAACTCTGCAACCCCATGGACTGCAGCACACCAGGCTTCCCTGTCCTTCACCATCTCCCGGAGCTTGCTCAAACTCGTGCCCATTGAGTCAGTGATGCCATCCAACCATCTTGTCCTCTGTCGTCTCCTCCTCCTGCCTTCAATCTTTCCCAGCATCAGGGTCTTTTCTAATGAGTCTTCACATCAGGTGGCCAAAGTATTGGAGCTTCAGCTTCAACATCAGTCCTTCCAGTGAATGTTCAGGGTTGATTTCCTCTAGGACTGACTGGTTTGATCTCCTTTCAGTCCAGTATACATTCAGTTCAGTTCGGTTCAGTTCAGTCGCTCAGTCGTGTCTGACTATTTGCGACCCCATGAATCACAGCACGCTGGGCCTCCCTGTCCATCACCAACTCCCAGAGTTTACTCACACTCATGTCCAATATACATTAGGCGCGGATAAATACTGTTTGATTCCACTCATATGAGAAAGTGTTATTCTTTAGGAGCTGATGTGAAAATTCCTCTTAGGGAAATTATTATATATGTTTGGAAGGAGCATGGGGATGATTCATTTGCAGGAACTCCTGTTCTTGAGTGTGTTTGAAACACAGATCAGTGTGACGTTGGATGGGGTCTCAGGGGTGGTCCTTGATGCCTCAAAGTGACCATTTGGGAGTTTACAAAGTGACTGAGGAAATAATAGAGCCTGGGAGACTTTGGGAAAGCCACAGTCCTTTGCTCCATGTGAACCCGGAAATGCATCCTGCAGGCAAGCAATATGGGCAAAAGGGCAGTGGCTTAAGAATGAGGGGTTCAAAGACCCTGTTTTCTTTTTTCCCCACAATGAGTCATTCTAAGTCATTTGCGTATTTTTTTTTTCTTTTTCCAACCTCCAGGCCATCAAGAAGCCATTGCAGTGTGCTTACACCTTCAGACCCAGCAGACAGTCAATGACACCTTGTGTGATATGGTCCACCGCCCTCCGCCGATGAGCCAGGCTTGTAACACAGAGCCCTGTCCGCCCAGGTACGTGCAGTCTTCTGCTCCCCGCAGAGAATCATGCATGTGTACTGAGGCTGAGGAGGGAGTCACCCAAGGAGATCAGAGTTCTCCCTTCTCCGTTCAAGCTACATGCCAGCCAGATTCTCACTAAAATACACGAATACTGCTAGATTAAGCAGGAATCCCTTTTACCCTGCCTTTTGTTTGCATCAAACATGAGTGAATGTGAACTGGCTGCTGCTGGCAACGCCATGAGCTCAGCAGTTTTGTTGTCTCATGTCTATCCCTTCAGGGGTACTTCTTTGCATGAATCCACATCAGGGAACATAGGCTCTGAGGTCAAGTTAGCACAGATACACAGAAGGTGCTCCATCCATATTTGTGGACTGAGTGATCCTCTACTTGTTACCTAGAAATCACACCAGTGTGTTCTCACCCTTCCCACTGACCTACCAGAGATCTGATTGTGGGGTGTACTGTTAAGAGTCCCCAAAGAGTGGGCGATGTTGGCTTATTTTTGGTCTCCTTGGCCTGAAAGTTTGACCTTAAAAATTAATCTGCTTCCTCTCTTAAGTCCTTATAAGATGCTGGGGATTTTTATCAGAAGGAAGCGTAGATTTTCCTCATGTTTCTCTGTCCCTGGCTATTGTTAGCTACAGAGGATTATAACTCAGCATCACTAGTTTCTCATAAGACATTCCAAAATCCAGCCCCCAGTTTTTTCTCTTCTCTATCCTTTACCTGTATAATCTTGACCCCTCTTCTGTGATATATTTAAAGCCAAAAGTTGAAAGCTCATTCCCAGTCACCTCCTCTCTTTCTCGTTGCCGGATTTTCTTTCTGCCTCTTAGTAATTTTATCACCCATTTAATTAGGTACCTGCATTCACTAAAGGTAAGTTTAATTATGTCTGGGATCCTAAGCAATTGAGGACATTTATTATGTTTGTTACATCCAGGAGTAAAGATAGATTTTTATGGTTATTCAGGAAATAATTTGTGCTTCTGGAAGTCTCTTGGTCTTTCTGATTTTGATTCCATGAGATGTGTTGGCTGTGAGGAAGAAAGTCCTGCCTTGGTGGTTTCAGGGTGCTGGTGGTGAGGATCCAGTGAGTGAGGGCATTCTGGAGATCCATGCTTCTTTGTCCTGCAGATGGGTCCTTTCTTTGTGGGTCTCAGTCTCTAACCTGCTCAGTCTTGGAGGATGCCAGCTTCATCCTTGGGGAGACCACATCTACAAGGAATGAGGCATAACATTTTATATCCATTGCTATATTTCTGACTTAGATTGTCAGCTAAGGAAATATGCGAAACTCCTTCTTTAAAATATATATACACATATATACATATATATATATATCTTTATTTGGTCACGTTGGGTCTTAGTTGCGGCACATGGGATCTCTCACTGTGGCACGTGGACTCATATATATATCTCTTTATGTAGTTGCATAGGGTCTTAGTTGCGGCACACGAGATCTCTCACTGTGGCACGAGGACTCATGTATATATCTTGATTTGGTCGCGCAGGGTCTTAGTTGCGGCACACGGGATCTTTCGCTGTGGCACGTGGACTCTTTAGTTGTGGTGAAAGGGCCCAGTGGTTGCTGTGTAGGCTTAGTTGCTTGAGGCATGTGGAATCTTAGTTCTCTGACTAGGGATCAAATCTGCATCCCCGGCATTGCAAGGAGGATTCTTAACCACTGGACCACTAGGGAAGTTCCCAGGAAACTTCTTGACTTATGTTACAGCCGTCTTGCTGTGCTCAACTGGGATGAGGCAGTGAAGACCTACACAGTTACTTTGGTGATCAAGGCCCAGAAACAGCATAGGGAAATCTTCTTCCCTAGACCTCCCACTTCCGCCCCCAGGTTTACTGAATTCCAGAGTCATCCACACCAGAATACTAGTAGAACATGGCAGAAGACACAACACAATAGGAGTATTAGAAGGTTTGATCTAACTGGGAGTCAGGATGCCCACTTTATCATCAAGTCTATCCGGAGCTCTCCAAGAACATCAAGTATATCGGAGGTGATGCTGAGATTCTGTCCATTTGAAACATCCCCTTTATCTTAGGGGAAATAGCACTCATGTTAAGTGTTGAAAACCTTAGGAATCCAAATTACTCATCTTAGGTTTCTCAGTTTTTTCTTAATCTAATATCAGAAGCAATGATTTAAATACTTTTGGAGAAGCTAGTTTCTGTTCTCCTCCCCTCACCCCTACCACATCCCTCCAGTGAGGCTCTGTGAGATGGAAACTACCTGTCTGACCAGGGTGAAGGACAAGGGGAAATGCAGGAGGTGAAAAGCATAGTTTAATATCTCAACCTGTTGTCCCAAGAAATTGGAATCATGCTCTACAAGGTTTTTAATCTGGTTCCTTCAACTGAGTCTTGGGATGGAGTAGGAGGAAGAGTTAAACAAACATAAATAAGTATATTACTTAAATTATAATACATGCTATAAAGAAACAGAAAAAGTCTCAAGAACAAGAGTTGCATAAGGACCTAATATAGATTGGTTTGGACTGAGGATTGGGTGCAGGCATTCAGAGGAGGCCTCCCTGAGGGTTCTATGTAAGCTGATGTGTAAAAGAGGAGTGAAAGTTGGCCAGGGGAAGCATAGAGGAGGGAGTGTTCTAGGCAGAAGGAACAGTATATACAGAGGTCCCGAGGAAAGGAAGAAATTGGTGTGTTCAAGAAACTTGACAGAAAGGAAGTCAGATGAGAGACCAGACTGGAGATGAGACCAGACATAGTAGGACCATGGCAGGCATTTGGACTTGATCCTGAGAGTTGCCAGGAAACCACTGGAGCATTTGATAAATCGAATTTACATTTAGGGACTTCCCTGGTGGTCCAGTGATTAAGACTCCAAGCTGCCAATGCAGGGGATGTGTGTTTGATCCCTGATTGGGGAACTAAGATTCCCAACATGCTGCACTGTATGACCAAAAAAAAAAAAAAAGTACACTTAAAAGAGACTGCTAAAACCCTGAGATGGGGAGAACAAAGGTGGAGATATTGAAATCAATTATAAGTTTTTAATTAATTACCTTAACTGAAATAGCTAGCCTGCCATAATTCATCTGAGTGTCCCCCATTTAAAGCCTGCCTGCATGTCAATCTGAAAGCGTCCTTGGATTGAGTCCAAATTAGATATGTCCCTGACCACTTATCATAAAATTTGAGTCCTGCCTGTAATGTTTTCTGCTCTGATCCGTATGTACACGTATGACTATGAAACTGTCTTCTAAATTAGTGAATGGCCATGTGAACTCCCACAAAAAAAGCCACATTCTTTACTTTGGCATATGTATTAGTTCCCTTGGGCTTCCATAACAAAGTTCCATAAACTGAGTAGCTTAAACAACAGAAGTTCACTGTCTCACGTATGGGGAGTGTAGAACCCTTAATCAAGGTTGGTTCCTTCTGACAGCTCTGAGGGAAAACCTATTCTAACTTCTGGTAGCTTGAGCGTCCTTAGCTTGTGGATGGGATAAGGCAATGGCAACCCACTCTGGTACTCTTGCTTAGAAAATCCCATGGACATGGACAGAGGAGCCTGGTAGGCTACAGTCCCTGGGGTCGACGAGAGCCGGATGCGACTGAGCAACTTCACTTTCACTTTTCGCTTTCATGCACTGGAGAAGGAAATGGCAACCCACTCCAGTATTCTTGCCTGGAGAATCCCAGGGACAGAGGAGCCTGGTGGGCTGCCGTCTATAGAGTAGCACAGAGTCGGACATGACTGATGCGACTTAGCAGCAGAAGCAGTAGCACCTTGTGGATGGCATTCCCTGCGTGTTTTCTTTTTATAATATTTAGTTATCTATTTGACTGTACCAGGTCTTAGTTGTGGCATGTGGGATCTAGTTCCTTGACCAGGGATGGAACCCGGGCCCTCTGCATTGGGAGTGTGGAGTCTCAGCCAAACTCCTGGACCACCAGGGAAATCTCCCCTGTGTTTTCATAGCATCTTCCTTCTGTACGTCTCTGCATTGAAATTTCCCCTTTTATAAGGTCACTGCTCCTATTGAGTTAGAGCCCAACATCTGATGACCTCAGCCTAACTCTATCATCTGCAAAGATGGTATTTCCAAATAAGTTCACATTTATGAGTTCTTGTGGTTAGGACTTCAGCTTCATTTTGAAGAAAGCAATTCAACCTATGAGAGCAGATAAAGTCCTTGGAGACCATGGTTTTAGGTTCTTGAACCACGTTTCCTGTCATGACTTCCCTCACCTTATCACAATGCATGTGTGCGTGCACACACACACACACACACACACACACTCACTCACTCACTCACTCACACACACCCAGAGGAACTTGAACTTGCCTAGCGGCCACATTGAATTATTCACTTTGACCCATGCTCCCGCTCATTCATGCCTTCTGGGCCTTGGCCCTCTGCCTGGAGTCCTTATCCATGAAATAAGCTAATACTCTCCCATAAAAGTGATCAGCGGCTCTCTGCTCCCTGGTATATGAAGTCAACAGTGTGAAATGGGATCCTAACCTTGGACACATGATAGGGATGTGTCTTAACAGTGCAGAAAGAAGTGGGAATGGATCTGGAGCATGGAGTAGAGGCCAGTTCTGCCTCCATCAGGACACTTCAGACATGTCCCTTGGCTCTTAGGGCCCAGTTTCTTCATCTGAATGTTGATCAAAGGTGTTAGACTTTATCATCACCAAGGTCTTTTTCAGCTCTAGTCTTTCATTGTTGAGTCATGCTTCAGGTTGCATTTTTCACTCACATCTGCAGGGCTGTGTCGAATATTTTTGCAATTATTTTCATGTCTACTCATGAGTCCTTTGAAATGCTCAGGGTTTGTTTTAGTTATAAGAATACCAGCCTCTGCTTGACCTGCCGAGGAGGCCAAGGCAGGGCTGAGCTTGGTTTGCAGTGCCATCCTTCTTTTGCTCACCAAATTGGGGCAAGATCTGACTACAGATCTAGAAACGTCCCTTTATGTTCCTGAAGGGAGCATGCTGGTTTATCCATGCACCGGCCCATGAGCAGGTTCCTCATCACTCAGCCTCTGCCAGGGATCTTGCACATAATCTGCCTCAGCAGTCTTGCCCACAGAGCTCTCAAACTGGGAATAATACAGCACACAATATATCTTGGCCACTTTGCAAAATTAAGGGTCTGTTTTTATGTGAAGAGAAATACTATTCCTCATTTCAAAGTTGCAAGTTTAATAAAGGTTTTGAAGGTTGAGAGTTATTTTGGAAAAAAACCAGCAGAGACAAAGGGTTGATGCCAAAATAAAGGTAAGTTTACAAAAATGTTTTAGGTTCTAGAAACCAGTGGTGTAGTAATAACAGGAACAGGGTGTTGCACAATACTTTCCATACAAATATTTACTGACTCCAAGGGCAATAGCAGTAAAATATCACCCCAGGGTGAAACTTACCAGTGAGATTGGGTTGGACAGTCAGTAGATCTTTATTTACCCAGGGGCAAATGTGTTTGATGTATTAGCCTGAACTCTCCAAGGTGGGGCGTTGTATGTTTATTTGCTTTTCTGGGGTTACTCCCTTTGGTCTGTCCTTTAACTGCTGAGTGTCTGCTATTTATGGAGTTTGCTTTTTCCAGGAGAGAGAAATGGGCAGGGTTACATAATGGTTCCACTAGTCCAAGAAGAGCCTTCTTCTTCTGTGACAGGACTCAACATGGCTAGACAGGGAGGTGGGGAGACAAAAGGCAAGAGTAAAGTGTTTCTGTACCAACTTGTTACCCAGGTCTTGAATTAAAACAAAAAATGCTGTGTTCATTGTCTCTTAATAAGAAATTGTTACCTGTTTCTTGAATAAGAATGTTCCCCTTCCAGTCCCTTATGTCACTGATCAATTCTAGTAGTTATATACTTTCTTGAAAGACTGACCATCCCAAAGTTGCTTCTAATAAATTACATAGTTAAGCTGAGTTGTTTTAATACTTCAACAAAAGCCTTCTAATTATTTAGCTGTGTGGTCTGATTGTCATCAGAGTATCTACTATTGGTGATTTTCCTCACACCTAAAGCTACTGGAACTTTATATATTAGTAGCCTAATTAATAGGTTAATGAATATACTTCCAATTCAGATCATGTTTTAATTTCACATTCTGCTCCAAATACAGATCAGTGATAGCTACAGTATAAATAAGGGAAACATCACACCCAGGAAACAGTGAAAATAACATGTAGTTATATAGGCTGGGAAAGGAACGGAAGAGGGAAGTGGTGAGTGGAATTGGACCTATGGTTCTTCTGGGCTTTAGCCCCACAGCATTTGGGGTCCGTGAGAGTTTGGATCCTCTGGGTAACCGACACTGAGCATCTTTCTTTTAATTCATGGAAAAGGACCCATATTCCTTACTTCTTTGTGACGAAAAGCTGCTGCTGACCACAACCAGAAGCCTTTGTTTACCCAAAGCTACTCACCTGTGAAGAAGAAGGACAGACGCAGTAGAGCCCTGGGAGCAGACCCAGCCCTGGTTTACCTGTTGGCTCAGCGGTCGGGTCGTCAGTGTCTTCATAGTGCTTCTGTGCCACATGGTCCACATGGACCTGGTTCTAGCCTGGACCCCAGAGGGCTCGGTGGTGGCAAACCAAACTGTAGACGGAAAGGGTTAAGAGACAGAGAAAAGGATTAAAGGTAGTGGAAGGAGAGAAAACCCCTTCCAGTTGAGCCTGCAAAATGACATTCCAAAGCATATGAAAAAAATCTAATGCTAATTAAGATAGTTCACAGATTCGCCAAATGAAAGATGAATTCATTACAAAAGAAATTAAAATATAAGAACAATTTGGAAAATAATATAAGTATTCTTGGAACTTTGGAGTTTGGAGAAGGATACAGATGTTCAGTTCACAGTGTATGTTGCTGTTGTTGTTCAGTCACTAAGTTGTGTCTGACTCTTTGCAATCCCATAGACTGCAGCACACCAGGCTCTCTTGTCCTTCACTATCGCCCGGAGTTTGCTCAAACTCATGTCCATTGAGTCGGTGATGCTATCTAACCATTTCATCCTCTGTCACCTTCTTCTTCTATGCCTTCAATCTTTCCCAGCATCAGGGTCTTTTCCAATGAGTAGACTCTTTGCATCAAGTGATCAAAGTATTGGAGCCTCAGCTTCAACATCAGTCCTTCCAAATGAATGTTCATACTGTGTATTATTTTAATCCTTTGATTAATATGCTTGTTATTAGGATTTCTATTTCTCTCTTTTTAAAATTAAAAATATATAATCATAGATTGTAATGTTTTCTTTACATTTTAATCCTCTTTTTTACCTTGGAACATTTTAAGTAACATAAGAATTCATTTGTTTCTTAGAAACTTGTAAGAACTTTATCACAAAATTAGCACAATCTAGTCCTTTTCTTCAAAAGAACTTTTTGTAGTTGCCTAATAGCATGTCTATTTCATCAAAAATTTCAAATATATTATTAAATTCTCTATATTCTTTTAGATAAGTCAGGAGCTTAGAAAAATAATTTACAGCTGGGGTAAGATTCATGATTACTAATAATTAAATATCTATAAGTTTTAAAATAATAATTGTGTACAATTTTTTCACCCATCAGATGGGCAGAGCCTTTTTCAAATGGTACGGTCCAGTGGTGGTATGGCTATAGAAGCCAGGCTCTCTCTACTTCTGGTGAAAGCGTGAATTGAGAGAATCATTTTTGAAGGCAACTTGGAAATATGTACCCAAAGAAACTGCCCTGGTTTTTCATTTTTGCAGATGTTTCATGAGAAAACCTGATTTTTCCGAGATCTTATTGGAAAGGAATCACATTATGTATATATATGTGCTGTAAATCCAATCCTAACATAAAAGAATTTTCTTAGGGATATTCCAAATAATGAATCCAGGTGCCCTAAAAATTTCCTGAAGTGTGCTTTTAAGCATTTAAAATTTCTTTTGACACCTTATATAAATCATGCTTGCCTTGGGGCTCTATTCAAAACAAAACCAAGATTTTATTAATGATATATGGCGGTAGGCTAGGATGGAGAGAAATCTGCTTCTCTTTCACTCCAGACTTTCCTAGACAGGTGAAATCTTTAAGCACTTTTCTGACATGTCTTGCCTTTAAACATTGTATTTCTGCACTTTAATTGCATTTATTGATGCTGTGGATATGGAGGGTGGAGGCTGGAAGTCCAGAGAGGAGTGTGTAGTTGTCCATGCTCTGGGTGTCCCACTGAGTCCGTTGGACAGTGAATTTTCCCACTTGTTGTTTTGCTACAGGTGGCACATGGGCTCTTGGGGACCCTGCTCAGCTACCTGTGGTGTTGGCATCCAGACTCGAGAAGTATACTGCCTGCACCCTGGGGAGTCCCCCTCCCCCCCTGAGGAATGCAGAGATGAGAAGCCCCATGCCTTACAAGCATGCAACCAGTTTGACTGCCCTCCTAGCTGGCATATTGAAGAGTGGCAGCAGGTATGGCAGCCAGGCTTATGATCGTAAGAGCCCTGTGTTTCACTAAACCAAAGAAGGCTGAGCCCGTGGACTCACTTCCTTGTGTCCTCCCAGTGTTCCAGGACCTGCGGAGGGGGAACGCAGAATCGCAGGGTCACCTGTCGGCAGCTCTTAACGGATGGCAGCTTCTTGAATCTCTCCGAGGAACTGTGTCAAGGACCCAAGGCCTCATCCCGTAAGTCCTGTGCCAGGACAGACTGTCCTCCACACTGGACTGTGGGAGACTGGTCCAAGGTAAGGGCCATCCCAACTTTACGGCCCCTTCCTTTCTGCCCCTCCTCCCTTTCAGCCTTTCAGGATGTCCTCCCTCAGATGAGAGCTGGGGCTCCTTTGATGTGAGTGGAATGTCCAGGGCTCAGAATTTCAGGACACATTTACTCTCTGGGTTGTGTGAGTGCCCTGCTCCAGACCCACCCATAATGATTCATTTTCAGTGTTTACTCAATATTACTTAATCTGTACTCATCATATTTCTCCTACACCAAATCCCATGACTTCTGTCTTTTGAGAGAACCAAAGTCATTGTATCCCAGGATTAACTCAAAATCATTTTCCTTCTTCTCTGCCTTATGTCTCCTTATATAGAATTATTTATTAAACCCTGTCATTTCAACTTTCTGAAAATGTTTCATACCTTTACTTCCTCTGAATTCCATTGATACCACTGCTGAATTTACTCTTTATCCTCTCAAGCTCACATTAATTGCAATAAGCAGAATTCCAAACTAACATTTTTGTGTATATTTAGGACTTAATATAGTCTAGTAGCAATACCCGTTTTTCAAGAGGGGAAAATTAAACCCAAATAGCTAAAATAGGCTGTTAAATAGGAATAGAATCCTTGCCTTTTGACCTTATTGCAAGGGTTCTCTTTTATGTAAATTACACTGCCCACCTGATTCCCTGCCTCTGTACCATCTTACCCCTCTCCAAACTATCTTAACACCTCATAGTATTCCCACCACTCCATCTATCAAGTCAACTCCTAAAGGTCTTGTTGCCTGAAAAATCAACTTTCAGTTCCTTGTGGGGCTTTCCTTGAACAAATGGGACTCACATCCCAGCCCCCTTTCTTCTTATTCCAGCTCTTCCAGTCTTGCTTATTCTTTTTAAAATTTTTATTGGAGTACAGTTGCTTTACAATGTTGTGTTGGTTTCTGCTCTACCGCAGAGTGAATCACCCATACGTGCACACATATCCCCTCTGTTTTTTTTGGTTTTCCCTCCCATGTACATCACCACGGAGCACTAATAGAGTTTCCTATGCTATGCAGTAAGTTCTCGTTAGTTGTCTGTTTCATACATAATAGTGTGTATATGTCAACCCCAACCTCACAGGGATCTCTTTGGAAGCTGGGATCTTGTAAGAGATGATGATCTCAAGTCCCACCCAGACCTAAGAAATCAGAATCTGCATTTGAATGAGACTCCCCGGGGGCTGTCAGGCAGAGTACCCTTTGGGAAGCATTTCCTCACCTGCCCCTTCTCCTTGGGAGAGTTGCTCAACCCTTCAGTGTGTGCACAGCAAAGATTGTCCTGGGCACTAATGTCTTTGGGCACATGCTGCCCTAACCCACGAGGAAAAGGCAGGAAAAGGGAAAGAAGAGGTATGAGCAGTGGTGGTGTGGAAACCAGGCCCCTGAATCTGGATGTGCCCTCCTCATCTCTTCTTTTCTCCAAGAAAGCAGAGGCCTTCACAGTTCCATCTTGTTTACTGGAACAAACTCTTCCTACTAGCCTTTTAGAAAGGAGAGACAGGAGGCAATGCCCTCACTTTCCTCTACTGTTCCTTCTCTGTGAATGATGGAATTTGCAGTCGCTGGTTATCTTTCACTAAATGAGCATCCATCACTGTGTTGACTCAGGCTTGCCTTGTGTCTTTGCTCTTGTTGATACCCTCAAACCCCCAGGCCCAGCTCTGAGCTTCCCTCCTCTTTGAAGTCTTCTAGTCTCTAAAACCATACAGCATTTCTCAGCTCTAACTCATAATGACCCAGCTTTTTTTTAGCATTTTAATGGGAGGCTGCTTCCTGAGCCCCCGTATGGTGCTCTCATCTGGCTGATTGTGTCCTTGCAGTCAGTGGCCACGAGATCGCTGACAGGTCCTCGGGCCCTGCAGACCTCTGAGCAGGTGAACATTCCTCCTCAAGTGTCTTCGCAAAGACAGGAGACATGTTAACATGTGTTGGAGTCATGATCTGTAGAAAAACTCAGGCTAGCTAACAGGACAGGAAAAATCATTCACTGGGAGGGATTTTGTTGGGAGGAAGAAACGGAGACAAAAGAGGTTATCCACGTGAGCTGGTTTGGACCAGAGGCAGGTGAGTTTCCTAGGCGGTCATCGTAGAGGCAAGAGCAAGCTTGTGCACACTCCAGAGGTTAGCCCAAGCCCGATCACGACATCTGCCTGCACCCAGCCAAGGCCACATCTCCAGGAAACCTGCATCTGGAGGAGGAGCAGGTATGCCCATGTCACAGCTGGGCAGAGCTGGTGTTCAGACTTGGGTCCAGTCAGGCACATGTGTTGCCATGCAGTTTGTATTCTCCTGCATGGTTCAGCTTTTCTGTTGATATTTAATATTTTCTCTCATTTCTGAGCTGCCTTGTTTTGGCAGAGATCCTGATGCCAAATTGCCACCCTCCCTAAAGCGTTCTGCCAGACTCGTCCCTCTGCCATGGGATGGCTCATTCCAGGGCAGCCATCCATTTCATGGTTCTGGATGTGTCCCTTCCCCATGGGAACTGGCCACTACCCCTGGTCCCAGAAAGACCAAAAAGCTACGCCAGAATTTCCATTTTTCACCACGCCAGGCCTCTCAGGCTGCAGCTGTAATTCACTCACTCTGTTCATGGCATCTTTGGGCTTTGTTCATTCACTGTATCATTCCTTTTCCGATTTCCTTAGATCTGAACCAAGTTTTATGTGGAAATGAGCCTCAACTCTTATGCTGCTTTTGTAGCTACAAGAAAGGAGCGTTGACTCTTCTATGGGGCAGTCATTCCTAAAGTTGTCTTGTGGCCCCTCCCACTGCCTGAAATCCAGTAGCCTTTCCTCATTCTTTGTTCTCTGCGCTTCGATGGGGCATTTGGCCATTTCATCCACTTTCATCATTCTCCTTCAGGATATTCCTTGGTGTTTTTTATTTTTCCTATTTACCTGACTGTGTGTTTTATATTGGTTTGTCTTCTTCCAAATCTTCAAAATGCTCAGTGTTTGACCCTTTGATTTTTATCACTACATTTACCTTCCAGAGATGATTCTGTGGTGTGACTTCTCTGACTTCTATAGGTGATTTTCTGTTTCTGGACACAGTTTCTGATTTTCTCTTCAATACCTTATCCTTAGCTCTTCAAGTAGGATAGATCCTCAAGCAAAGGGACACCCTCATCCCATCCAGCTTCCCCACCTACTTCCTGTCTCTGTCCATGTAGCACTGTCTTTCCAACACCTGTTGTCATCTCTGAGTTCACCTCCTTCAACTACCTATACCTGCCAACTCTTTCAATTCTTGAAATCTGTCCATATGCTAAATAAAAAGGAAATGGTCTCTATACATGAGACATTTTACAAAGTACAGCTCAAGATATGTCCAGGATACATGAATTTCCAAACATGGCTTTCCAGTTTTCAATAGATGTTTTATTTATGACTTATGAAAGGAGTACTCCAACACGTGTTAGAGCCAGTTCGTACTGGCTTTTGAGAACCAATTATGATCTCGTCCTACTGTGTGGTCAGTGATATTCCAATAACAGCTTGACATCAGCCATGATGGGAGTATTTATACCACAGAAATTGGTAAATGTTACAATCAGGGCCCTTTTCTCCATGAACCCTGTTGTAAAATATGTACTAGCACACAATTGCATGAAAGTATTTTCCAGACACACATACACACATATATACTATCTTATTGATAAGACAGTTTCAGCTTACTAATAAAGCAGGTATGTAGGATGGAAATGCCCTTATTTGTGCAATTAAATAAAGAGACTTGTAGAAGCTTCTTCTGACTTGAATATGCCTGTTGCCACAGCCCTGCGTCCTCACAGTCATTTACTGAGCACTGCTATGATTGATTGTGGGCTTTCCTGATAGCTCAGTTGGTAGAGAATCTGCCTGCAATGCAGGAAACACCAGTTTGATTCCTGGGTCAGAAAGATCCACTGGAGAAGGGATAGGCTACCCACTCCAGTATTCTTGGGCTTCTCTGTGGCTCAGCTGGTAAAGAATCCGCCTGCAATGTGGGAGACCTGGGTTTGATCCTTGGGGTAGGAAGATTTCCTGGAGAAGGGAAAGGCTACCCACTCCAGTATTCTGGCCTGGAGAATTGCATGGATGGTATAGCCCATGGGGTCACAAAGAGTCGGACACAACTGAGTGACTTTCACTTTCACTTTAAAGCAAGCTTCCCAGGTGGCACAATGGTAAAGAACCTGCCTGCCAATGCGAGAGATGCAGAAGGCTGCGGTTTCATCCCTGGGTCAGGGAGATCCCCTGGAGTAGGAAATGGCAACCTACTCTAGTATTCTTGCCTGGAAAATGCCATGGACAGAGGTGCCTGGCGGGCTACAGTTCATGGAATCACAAAAGTTAGACACAGCAGAGCACACTTTTTTAAATAATCTTTTATCCTTGGTAGGCATTCCTATGGTTTTTATACATTATATCCTTATATATTAAAAGACAATATCTCTGTGTGTGTGTGTGTGTGTGTGTGTGTGTGTGTGTGTGTATGTATACATTCATAAATACCTTTGTGGATATGTATCTCCTTTATATATTAAAAGAAAACATCTGGGTTAAGAAGGTTAAGTGGGGAGCTCAGTTCTAAGCCCTGCCACTTAAAAGAGAGTGACATGATACATTTCCCTTAATCCTTGGCTTCCTCATCTTTAGAATAGGATAATATAAACTGATTGCTTGTTTCCTTTTTTTAGTTGAATGAGCTGTGAGGCTAAGTAAAATGTAGCCCAATCAAATGTAAATTGTTGGGCGCTATTTTTCTAATCTATAGGAATTTGTTGTGAGTTGTTTTTGAATAGAAGAAAGTTATTTCTTTAAGTGTTCATTTTATAACACTCTTGGCCTACAGATTAATGATGACATATTGCTAATTTGGATCTTACCAAAAGGATGTGGTGGATTTTTCAGTATTTGAAAATATTTGTTTATTGTTTATTATGTTCATGNGTCCTAGATTTCTATCTTGGGTAATTAATGGACAAAGATG